CTGTGGTGAGAGTTGTCATGGTGATATCCTTAGTGGTGGGAGTTGTCTTGGTGATGGGATTTATTTTGTAAATGGGGACAGGACTCCTGTCTTTGTCTTGTCCTCCAGCAGCTTATTTTTATTTTTTTTAGTTGCAGATGGACAGAATGCCTTTATTTGTTTATTTTTATGTGGTGCTGAGGATCAAAACCAGTGCCTCACATATGCTAGGCAAGTGCTCTGCCACTGAGTTACAGCCCCAGCTCTCCAGCAGCTTCTTTTTAATACCCTGTCTCCACCATCTTGGTGTCCCTGAATTCCTACCTACCAGACTTACAAGAAAAGGTACTAATGTATTTTCCCAAGACCTCCCATCTAATAAGTGATGGAGCTGATACTAGAATGTGAACAGTCAGACTCTGTCCTGTATTTGATCAGATAATTGGTAAGGCAATTTTTAACCCTGAAATTCCAGGACTCACTGATTTATTTTATCATTTCCAACAGCCAGGCACTAAAATCTCTCACCTGCATGGCTGCACAAAGTCAATGTCATAGGGGCCTAACTTACTTTTTTTTCTTTAAATTCATCTTTTATTTCTTCAATATTTTCTTGCTTATATCTTTTTTCTCACATTTTTATTGGTACATTTTAGTTGTACATAATGGTGGGATTTGTTATTACATATTCATGCATGCACACAATATAACTATAATTTGGCCAATATCACTCCCCGACACTTCCCCCATTTCCCCCCTAGTCCTAACTTAATTTTGTCATTGCCTAGTACCTGTCAATTCCTCCAAAATATTCACCTCCAGTCCCAGTGGAAACTATACCTGGGCAAAAGAAATATAATGTGAGCCACATATTTAATTTGAAATTTTCTATGAGCCATGTTGAAAAAGTGAGATGCATTTTAATATGATACTTTATTTGGCCAATGGTTCCAAAATATTATTTTAGTATGTAATGAATATAGAAGTTAAGATATTTTACAATCTTCTTTTCCATAGTAAGTTTGTGTATCTTAGACTTACAGCACATCTCAGTCTAAATTAGCCACATTTCAAGTGCTCAACAGCCATACATTGCTAGTGCTACCATATTAGGACAGTTCTAGATGATGACTATTCACATAAGTCTTTGATACCCTAAGACATAGGGTTTTTTTTTCTTTCATATTTACATAGGGGATTTGAAATTGTACAGGTCATCCAGCTCCAGGCTCCCTACAAATGTTTGTGAGTGCTTAAAGCCTTAGACCTCAATTCAAACTCTACTCTGCTCTTAATCAGCTATTTGACTTTAAGCACCTAACAACCTCTCTGGGCCTTTATTTCATTATCTACAAAAAAGAGAATGCTGTTATCTATTTTTGGTATTTTTGTGAGAGCAAAATTCAATGTTCCATACGGAGCACCTCTCATGTGCCTGTCACTATATCATTCAACATATGGTAACTCTGCATTACCATTATTGCTTCTGCTAAGCTGTTCAGTTATGCTGGACTCTCTGTGAATGGGTTAGGCCGCAGAGAGCCATCACTTGGATAGGAGAAGAGGAAGTGCCTTCCGTACTCCTATGTACCAGCAGCCCCCTGACCACAGGGTTGAAAATGGCCAAAACTCATGAATAAATGTGGTCTTATTTGGAAATAGAGTCTCTGCAGATGGCAGAAAACTGAGGTCATATTGGATTAGGGTGAGTCATAGTTGTAATGATTGGCGTCCTTAAAGGAAGGCCACATAAATACACAGGGGACATATAGAGAAGGTCATGTTAGGGTAGATGTGGCTACAAGCCAATGAATCTAGGAAGAGGCAAAGAAGGTTTCTTCCCCAGAGCCTTTAGGATGATGGTCCTGCTGACCACCTGATCTTGGATTTTCTGCCTCTAAAACTGTGAGAGGACACATTTCTATTGTTTTAAAACACTCAGTTTGAGGTCATTTGTTTGGTAGCCTTAGGAAACTAATACACTGCTGTATCTCAGCTCTCTTTTTTGGATGGATGAACAGACTGTTCATCCGTTTTCTGTCTTAGATGTCTTTGGAGCTCCAGGACTTGGCAGAGGACTTGGCACATCTCAGGTGCTCTTAAATGTTTGTGGACTGGGAAAGATGGGAGAGAGCCCATGGGGAAAACCAAACCTATTATCTTGGTCCATGTTGTGCTACTATAACAGAATACCATGGACTGGGTAATTTAATGTCCATCTTTATCTTTATCCCTTTTAATTAACTTTGGCTTGAAGTCTACTTTATTTGATATGAGTATGGAAACCCCTGCTTGCTTCCACAGTCCATATGAGTGGTATGATTTTTCCTAACCTTTCACTTTCAATCTGTGTTTGTCTTTTCTTATCAGATGAGTCTCCTGGAGGCAGCATATTGTTGGGTCTCTTTTTTTTAAATCCAATCTATGTCTTTTGATTGGTGAGTTTAAGCCATTAACATTTGGGGTTACTATTGAGACATGGTTTGTATTTCCAGCCATTTTTGTTTATTCTTGGTGTTTAACTTGACTTGGTTTTCCTCTTTGATTAGCTTTTCCTTTAGTGTACTACCTCTCTCTGCTGATTTTCATTGTTATTTTTTATTTCCTCTTCATAAAATATTTTGCCAAGGATGTTTTGTAGTGATGGTTTTCTAGCTATAAATTCTATTAACTTTTGTTTATTGTGGAAGGTTTTAATTTCATCTTCGAATCTAAAGCTTAATTTTTCTGGATACAAGATTATTGGTTGGCACCCATTATCTTTCAGAGCTTGATATATGTTGTTCCAGGATCTTTTAGCTTTCAGGGTCTGTGTTAAAAAATCTGCTGTTGCCCTAATTGGTTTTCCTCTATATGTAATCTGATTCCTTTCTCTTATAGCTTTTAAAATTCTCTCCTTATTCTTTCTGTATGTTAGGCATTTTCATTATAATGTGCCTTGGTGTGAATCTGTTGTGATTTTGTACATTCAGTGTCCTGTAGGCTTCTTGAATTTGGATTTCCAATTTAGTCTTCATGTTTGGAAAGTTTTCTGATATTATTTTATTGATAGATTATTCGTTCCTTTGGTTTGGACCTCTATGCCTTCCTCTAAGCCAATAAGTCTTAAATTTGGTCTTTTTACACTATTCATATTTCTTAAATGTTCTGCTTGTGGTTTCTTATCATTTTTGCTGTGTGATCTATGTTCTTTTCAAGATGATATATTTTATCTTCATTGTCTGATGTCCTGTCTTCTAAGTAGTCTACTCTGTTGGTAATGCTTTCATTTGAGTTTTTAATTTGGTTTATTATTTCTTTTATTTCTAGAATTTCTGCTTTTTTTTTATTTTTAAATCTCTATCTCCCTATTGAGGTGATCTTTTGCTTCTTAGATTTGTTTATATAGCTCATTGTCGAAGTGATCTTTCACTACCTGCATTTGTTCTTTTATGTCTTCTTTGATATCACAGAACATTTTAACCATGTATATTCTAAAATCTTTCTCTGTCATTTTTTCTGCTGTAGCTGCCAATTCTTCTAATGATATGTTGTCTTGATTTGTTTGGGGCACTTTCTTCCCTTGTCTTTTCATGTTGCTCATGTGTCTTCCTTTCTAGCTCTGTGGATCTGATATGTTATTGTTTTTTACCCTATAGATTTATATGCTCTTGTAGGGTTCTAAGATCCCTCCTTCGTGGGGAAGGACAATGTTAACAATATCAATAATACATCACTTATGAACAAATTGTTATTATTAAGACGTTTACAGTTTAGTCTCAATGTCCAAAAATTTTGGATTCAATTATTATTTAAAATATAATCAGTAGTTTTGTAAAAAGATTTACATTTTCTGGCGGTGGACAATGAACTGGGGGTCGGGTGTAGGATGATATGCTGAGAGGGACAGATGTGAGGGTATAGAGTTAATATATCTTAGGAAATGTGAAGGAGAAATCTAATGAAGAGGGTTAGTAGCAGGAGAATAGACAGGAAGTAATTTAGGGTAAACAAGTACATGGAAAGACAGTAGAGTACATAAAACAAACACACATATGTATTTAGAAAAATACAGGATGTAAAAATAGTAAAATTTGGAGAGTGAAAGAAGAAAGAGGAAAAAAAGGGAAAGAAAGAGAAGAAAAAGAAAAAAAGAAAAAAGGGCTTATGCAGCTTCTCTATATTATATTATTCAAGTGACTCAGTCCTCATGCAAAGTTCTTGGTTTCACGTATGTTGTGGATGTGAAGGCCAGAGGATAGAAGGGTAGAAGAGAAAGAAGAAAAAAATACTCTTAGAGATCCATTTCTTTCCTACTTCTCTTCTCATCCAGTAGGTGGGGTTATCTGGTTTATGCTGGTGTCTCTGCCCTCAGGATGGTGTAGGTAACCAGGGTGAGAAGACTGGACCCGGTGTAGAGCATCTGGTAGTGGGGAGTGCCGCCCACCAGTCTCAGAGGGAAGTTGTACCTCAAGGGTCTCTTTTTGTAACCACTCGTCTGACTTGAGTCCCTGGTATCGTCTCCCTCTCTTGCCTGGAGATTTCCCAGATCCTGGTCTCTCTGTTATGCTCTAGACTTTAGTCCCCTCCCCTTTCTTACTTATCAGATCCCAACTTCAACCTCTTACCCCTAGGCTCTCACCAGGTGGGCGGCGCCCTGGTCACAATGCAGTCCTGTCCAACTGAGAGCTGTTTTTGTGCTGGGTGGTCACTGTGCCGAGTTATCGCTGCTGCTGGTGGGGGAGTTGGAAACCAAGTACCTGCTCAGATGGAGATCATATCTGAGAGCCACGCCCACCAAAAATGGCAAGAAAAGTTTTCCAAGATGGTCTGCTTCCAGTGCCAGGGTGTCTGATGAGATGGGAGGAGCAGGGCGACAGCCTTGTGCTGTGGGCAGGTAACAGCCAAGTGATCTGCGTGGAGCAGAGTACAGCCTGGAGTTGTGCAGAGGTACTGATAGTGATTTTGCTAAGCTGCTTGAGAGCTGTGGGTGAGCTAGAACTGCGGGCTTTGGGTCCAGAGTCCGGAGACTTACTTGAGCACAGAGACTCTGATTTCTGTGCGGGTGGTTGCAGCGCTGGTGATTTCTGCGAAAATTGGCCTTATAGGGGTCCTCTCATACTCTCTGAGATGTTGTATTCCGTCTAGGTGAGGCCTTGTGGAGAAGCTGCCTGTCTGCTTTCCCTGTTTCACGCCACACAGCAGCCAGAAACAGGACCTCCTCTATTCTGCCATCTTTGATCTCTGGACTGGGTAATTTAAACTAATTAGAAATTTATTTGCTAATAGTTGTGGAGACAAAAAAGTTCAACCAAGATTCAGCATCTGGCAAAGGCCTTTTTGTTGAATCATGACAGAAGCCAAGAAGATGAGAAAGGGCAAGAGGTGACCAAGCTGAGCCCTTGTTAGGGTGCCAGTACCATCCATGAGAGTGTGGCCCTCAAGACCTAATCATCTCTTAAGGGCCCAACTTTTTTATTTTAAGGGCCCTGCACATGTGAGCACAAGCTTTGCCCCTGAGCTACACCCTCAGCCTTCTACCTCCTAATAATGCTCCCCTGGCAATTAAATTCCAGTATGAATTTGGAGGAGATAAACGTTCAAACCATAGCACCAACTGTGATAGACATAGAAGGATGTCATTCCATCCCTGATGCATCTCACAGAAAGCAATTTCTATGGGCCAGCGGCAATAGGCAAGTTAGGAGAATTCCATGGGCAATTGTGCTGGAGAGTAGCCCATGAAACTCTGATTGGGGTCTGAATGTTAGACACAGAGGGAAAGACAGAGGCAGAAAGAACCACAGAGAGAGAGAGAGAGCAGTAGGCAGAAACCATGAGGCTGGAGGAGCCATGAGCGGGGGAGTGGACAGGAGAGGTGGACAGGAGAGGAGAAAGCAAGCAGAAAAGCCAGTGGCTGTTAGAAATGGAAGGTTTCAATACAGAGAAGGAGTCCTCCTGAGTCCCAGGTAAGACAGAAGGTCTCCAAGGAACATTCCAGTTCTTCCTGCCACTGCCCAGCATCTGCGGAGGCAGGTTCCTGTGCTTTCTCATTTCCTTTAGGACTCTTTACAAGAAATCACCAAACCTGAGGTAGCCTGGGCATTTCCCCAAGTGCAGGCCTAAATGTATTTAAATTTAATTAGACTACTTGTAGGCAGTTTTATTTTTACTTTATAGACAAGAAAACGGCAAGTCATATTAGCGCATATTATTGTTTGGTTTTGATATGGGGGATTGACCCCAGGGGTACTTAATCACTTAGCCCCCCTGCCTTTAAAAAATTTGAGATAGGGTCTCAATAAGTTACTTAAGGCTTCACTAAGTTACTGAGGTTGGCCTTGAACTTGTGATCCTCCTGCCTCAACCTCCCAAGTCTCTGGGATTACACGCATGCACCACGGTGCCTAGCTATATTAGTGGGTTTAAAATTGTGTTTCTCTCTCTTTTTCTCTCACTGTTTTACCCTCTCCCTTAGGATAGCTACAAGCGTAGACATGACAAAAGACATGGCAACAGGAGGGATACATTTTGATGGAGCAAGGTACATGTTGATGTGAGAAATTATCAGGGGACTGCTAGTGTGTGGGTGGAGGCCTCAGTGCAAGTGTCTCCCAGGCATTGGAGGAAGACTGCTCAGCTACACTTAGGGATGAATGAAACCATGGGCTGCAAACCACCTGCCACAGAGGTCAAGGTTGAAGTCAGAGTAACAACAGCCTTTTACAAATGCTTGGCTCTTTTCAACCTTGTATTGTCTCCCTGCTCATCCTAGAAAGGAGGGTGACAGAAGCAACTCTTAGGGTTCTGTTTACCTGACACTCTGTAACCAGTGTTGCTCATCAGGCTCTAAGACACTTAAAACTATTTTCCCTTCTGTGATATTTCAAATCAGATGTCCCAGGCAGCTTCACCACATAAGGAGGCAGCAGATGCTCTGAGACCACATAAGCTCTGAGTTCTTCCCAGGTGAATTGAATTGCGTGATTCCAGAGTCCTGCATGTCTGTGGTTGGAGGCACATCAATTACCAAGAGATGAGTCACAAGTCCATGAGCCAAGTGGGAAACACATGACAGAGGTAGTCTTTCATCTGAGGAGGATGGCAAGGCTTCCCTGCGGGACTGATGGAAGGTCCCCCTCTCCTCAGGACAACCAACTCACTGAGTAACGATGGTGCAAACAAGCTGAGGGAAATCCTGAAAAACAGGCTTCCCAAGGGCGGGAGTGGCCTGCCCAAGGGGGTTCTCTTCAACACATACAAACTTAGGGACCTGATTTCTTCCCAGAATGTCGAAGCAGAATTAAATGAATGCTATCGAAAATGATTGTCATTTTCGTAAGTTTATTTCTCATTTTCTTTTTCCCTCTAAACTCTTACAGCAGAAAAGAATGGAATCACAGCCCCTTTTTGTTTTCTTGCCAAGAAATTATGCTCTTAGGACAAGATTCAATTCAGGTTAATCAAGCTTTATTTTACTTATTTTTATGTGGTGCTGAGGATTGAACTCAGGGCCTCGCATGTGCTAGGCGAGTGCTCTACTGCTGAGCCACAATCCCAGCGCCCTCCCACTTGAAATCATCTTTAAATTCCTTGTAATATCTGACACATGACATCCTATGTGAGTAGTTGAGATGCAGCTCAAGGTGTGCCTGTCATTCCCGTGACTCTGCTGAGGCAGGAGGGTGGCAAGTTTGAGGTCGGTTTCAGCAACTTAGTGAGACACTGTCTAAAAATAAATTTTAAAAGGGTTGGGGATATATCTCTGTTGTAGAGCCCCTGGGTTCAATCCCCAGAAACCCCCTACCCCCAAAAAAGTTGTTATGCTGTTATCATTTAGGGAATTAAAAAAGGTCTGTACACGTTCAGTATAGATGCAACACTTGTGGGTCTATTTACAGGGCCAACTGCATTTTATTTAGCCCATTAGAGCCAACATCTTATCATTTCAGCATACAGTAAATATTAAAACATTGTTAGTGAAATTTTTCACCTTCCTTTTCTTTCATACCGTCTTCAAAGTCTATTGGACATTTTAGATCTAGCAGCATCGCTCAAAATTACCATGTTTAAGGATATTGTTGGGCAGATAAGGCTGGTGCCCACTGCACAGGACAGCATAGCTCCAAACACTCGGTGTGTGTGTCAGGAGGCTTGTGCAACAATGTCCAAAATAGCATTGTCCATAGAAGCAAAATTTACAACAGTCCAAATGTCCATCATCAGGAGAATTAATAAACCATGTCACATATAAAATGGAATTCCAGACAGCAGTGAAAACAAACATAGTACAGCTGTTTCTCAAAAACAATATTAGAAGGAAGAAACAACTTATGAAATAAACATATGGAAAATGATTTCATTTATGTAGAGTTCAAAAACAGGCTCAACCAAATGATTTCCAATCTAGGTATATATACATGACTGGGAAAGTAAGAAGCCCAAAGATTGGTTAACTACTACAGTCCAGTTTAGGGCCCCCTGGTGGTGGTGAAGAGGAAGAACTCAGGGAATTTCTCTTGATGGCAGTTAAGGTCTGTTTCCTAACCTGAGAGATGGGCAGAGAGGTGATGGTTTTATTATTCTTTAAGAATTTATATTTAAATATGAACAGTGCACATTAAAATGTGTTTAGCAGGCCTCTTGTGGAAAAATTGGTAAAACAAAGGAATATTAAATGAATATATATTCATATGTAGAAAATATCTCTGTAAAAAATTGTATTCAAAAGAATTGATAAAATTGATTGCCTCTGAGGAGAGGAGCCAAGTATCTAGAGAACAGGAATGTTCAAACAATACTCATGAATATATTACCTAATGAATCAATTTCTGTGATATCATTGTTTGGACCCCATCCCTGGCTCAGAGTTGAGGGCCCAGGCAATCAATATATAAAGTCGGCTAGGGGTGTAGCTCAGTGGTTGAGCACTTGCCTAGCATGTACAAGGCCCTGTGTGTGATCCATACAAACCAAATAATTAATTAGTTAATAATTAAGACTTCCAGGGGCTGCACTTTGGGAACTACAGCCTCATTTCTTCACAAATACTCATTATATGCTTATTATATGCAGATCACTCTTCTTCCATCATAAAAAATAAGTAAAATAAATAAGGAAATTGTGGCAGCTAAGAGGTTTTAGAAATTCTCTTCTGAATGCTTCTATTGGAAATGAAGAACACTCATCAACTCAAATTGTTCTGAGGACTAAGAAATAACCCATAGCAACATGGATGAACCTTAAAAACATTATTGCTTAGAGACAGAAGTTAGTCACAAAAGATTTCTTATTGTGTGGTTTTTACTAAAATTCTGGAATAGGCAAATCCATGGAGACAGAAAGTAGATCAGTAGTTGCTAGGGGCTGGGGAGTAACATTGAAGAAATGGTAATGTGTACTGGATTTCTTTTGGGGGGGTGTTGAAAATGTTCCAAAATTAGATGTGGGTAGTAGTTGCACAACTCTGTGAATATATTAAAAACCCACCAAATCATACACTTTAAGTGGGTAAATTGTATGGTTTTTAAAAGATGGCTCAATAAAGCGGTGAAAAGAAAAGAAGAAAATAACAACAGGTGCAACAGTACAAATTGGAGCCCCATAGCCTGCTGTTATTATTTTTGTTAGTAGTAACAGTGGGATCTCTATGACATCATTATTATCCATAATTATTCTGATGTAATTACTTTTCAAGCCCACCTCCTGTAGTAAGTAATATAGATAGCCACACTATTGTATATCCATTGCCAGTGCATGTCTTATTTGGTGACATCAACAGTCTTGTATCAAAAGGTCAGGTCATTGTTTTCTCCCCTCAAACTTGGCTGCACGTCTGTAACTTCTTCAACCAATAGAAAGCAGCAGAAATGACACTGAATATCTTCCAAGACTGGATCATGAAAGGTAATGCAGCTTCTTCTGCACTTTTCTCTTGAGATACTTTCTTTGGAACTCAGCCACCATGTTGTGAGGAATCCCAGGCCGCGTGTCGGCATTTCAGTAAACAGCCCTAGCTGAGTCCTCAGGCTGGAGCCAACAGCCAGCATCAACTACCAGATTTATGAGTGACCTCTACATCCAGCCTCAGGTCATCCAGCTGAGGCCGTAGACATCCCGAAACAGAGACAAGTCATCTCTGTGCTACAGAAAGAGTGAGAAAGTAGTAGTATGGTGAATTTGTTTTATTGCTATAGATAATTAATATATGTCCATTTTTAAAACATTTGTTTATGGCAAGGATTGTAACTTAGTTACATTTGCATTTCCATCACCAGGCCTTAATGTCTGACTCAATAACAAAATGAAGAAGTGATTTAGCCCTCTCTCTCTCTCTCTCTCTCTCTCTCTCTCTCTTCCTCTCTTCTTCCCAGCTCCCATGAGCTGAGCAGCTTTGCCCTACCACATGTTTCTGCCATGATGTTCTGCCTCACTTCAGTCCAAAGCAATGGAACCAGAGGACTGGGACCTCGAAATCATTCTATGCTGGTCTCCATTGTGAGGATGGCACTGTACACCAGATAGATGTTCATGCCCAGCTCATCATGGTGATAGTTCACTACTTTGAAATTGTACAATGACCAATATGTAACCAGGATCAAGAGGTTCCTTGGGGAAGATCCACCCTATGAAGTTGGACTGAGACTTCATAGGATATCATAAGAAACTCTACTGGATGTTAACACAACTCACTGATAGACCCAACCTGATCTTTTATTAAAATTGGGAGCCATCTTGCCACAAAGTGATGAAAAGATAATTTCGGCTTTACTATAAATTACTGCAAATTCTGAACCTGCTTGGAATGCCTGCCCGTGCCTTGAACTCACCCATGCCTGGCTCTCTGACCAGATAGCAGCCCTCTCTGAAACTTTAGTGACACCTCATAAATCTTGGCCTTCCCTGGCCAGACAACGACCCTCTCTGAGGCTCTAATGGTCCTCATAAATTCTGATGTTGGGGCCAGCAAAAATGTAAACTACCATTAGTGTGATGCTTGTCAGAGTTCTGTTATCTGTAACCCCCCTTTTGTGTCACTTTCTGGGCTATAAAGCTGGGCTGTAGGAAAGGTGGGGCTGCTGTCTTGTTCTCGCTGTTTTGGGAGGGAAAGGCAGCCCGGCCGGTCGAAATAATAAGCTTGCTTTAATTTGATTTTAATTGGAGTCAGTGGTCTTTTCTTGCGTCCTGGTCTAACACTCACCCTATAAATGCAAAGACTAAAATTCATGAGTAGAACAGGAACATCATTCTGACTCATAGGTTGAGTACTTTTAATTTTTAAAAAAGGCTTTTGTATGCAGCCTGGTAACAAGTCTCACCTTTGGCCTTGGCTAGGGCTCACCCCCTTCAACAAAGCCCCAAAGAGGAGTCACTATACTTACCTTGAAAAGGCTATTGAAATCCATAACTGACTTCCTTACCAGTGTGTTTTTGAGAGGGGCAAAAGGTGTGATTCATGCAGTCCAGGGGGAGGAAACAAAGAATGTCCACGTGCTTCTGCCCTTTTCAATACTTTATTCACTCAAATCACTCAATACAGTTTCACTCTATAGATTCTTAATTAAGAAAACAACAATCCTTCATGCTAGGCACTGCAATAGACATAATTAATTCAGAGAAAACAATTCTAGATTCATTCTAAGCACTGCAAACACACTTAATCATGACAGGCTAATGACAGACATTCCCTCTGTATGCTAAGTTCAAGTGTCAGATCAAAAGTCTCAAGCCTTAGGCTTTAAGTCCAACAGATGCACATTCACTTAGACCCCATTGATCAGGTCAGGAACCAAGGCAAGTTTCTCCTGGGGTGGAGTTGATGACCAGTTGAGGACAAGGTTGTGGGGAGAAGTTGCGAGCAGGGTCAAGATGTGACTGTAGTCTGAGAGCGGTGAGGGAAATGCAGAGGATCAGGCAATGATGAAAAGTGTTTGGGATGTCAGTCCAGGTCCTCATCAGGCTCTCAGCGTGAGGGCATCATTGTCAGCTGGCTGAATGTCTGTTCATTTGCTCTATTATTTATACCAAATTTGGGGGTTTTAACCCCCTTTTCAATCCTTATCAGCTGCCAGCGGATCTCTCAGTGACATCATTTACCCTGGGGTTAAAACATCTGGTCTGGTGGTCCCCACCCTGATCTTGATCACCAAAAGTTTGTCAGGGTGGAGAGAAGTGACTTGTTTGTGCCTGAGGGCCATACTGGAGGGCTCCTCTAGGCAAGCCTGGTGAGATTACAAGTTTCAAACTTGAGTTTTTAAAATGGAGTTGCTTAGGCTCAGGCCTAAGGCCATCCTCACTTGTGTTCAAGGTGGGACAGTGC